GAGGACACACACACACACACGAGGACACAGAATACTACACATCTTACAGATGAACTATGAACATTCACAAACAGAGTCCACGATGATGAACAGCAGGTAAAGCTAATAATAATAATAGTCAATAAAGTAATAATTACATATAATGTATCTTTAATACATAAAACTGAATAAAACAGACTGTCAGTACCTCTGTCTGAGTGCCGGTGACATCTGTGGTCCTCTGACTCTCAGTCGCCTTCAGCTGGATATAAAACCATTACAATTAAAATTATAACACGTAATGTTTATTTAATACATAAACATAATAGATGTCTGACTGCGGTTTAACCAACACGATTACTAACTAACACTGATGCAGAAGCACACACTGATGACAGCTCAGGTCAATCATCGTTAGTGTCTGATCTGATGGACATCATTTATTGTATTCATTTATTTATCTGATGGGAATTATTTAAATGAAGTGTTTGAATGAGCTGGTTCACCTCAGAGTGACATTCGGACACAGTCTGAACACACGTGATCTGTGTGACGTCCACACGCGTCATGATCTCCTGAAAGAAGGAGCGGTGGATTCACTCAGACACAGAAACACAGCTCGCAGCTTTCATAACGAGTGCTTCCTGAATATCACACCTATTCAGACATGCATCCATTCAGACTGAACAACTCATGAAGGAGTTTCACACAGCCTGATCATCTGACACCAGCAGCTGCACCGTTGTGCTGAATATTTACACAATTAAAATTTTAATTGATTGATTATATACAAAAACGTTTATTGTAAGATATGCTTATATACACACATATTTAAGTATTTTGAGAGCATAGGGAGACTCGATTACATCATTCACAGTGCTTCATGGGAGTGGGCGGAGCTAAAGAGATCTATTTGCCCGTTTTACTCTCCGATTGGTGGAGAATTCCCTGCAGAATCATGGGTAATGTAGTTTTTATACCAGGTACATGATTATTTAAAAATAGATTATAATAATGCAGGCTGATGGCTTCAACAAAAGCATAAACCATTAATTAACAACCTCGTAGAACACATTAGGTCTGTCTTTACTGGTTTATAAGTTACCATTAAAAATAATTTTCCCTA